TGAGCGATGGCAGGAAAATTCAAAATAATGGTGGTTTTAAGGTGCAATGGTGGTGAGATTGGTGTAGAAATATTGAATGTAATCCATTATTGTGAAAAACTTCATGAAAATTTAAAAAAACAATTTTGCAAGAAGTGTTTAAAGAGAGCCTTTAAAGAACAGGAGAGACTTTAAAGACTGGAAAAACTTCCCATCATGTGACATTGAGTATAGCACTCACTAGTGGTGCATATGGTTGGCCAACACTAGATTAAGAAAGGTCAATATCATATAGCAGTGATATAGGATATAGCACTGTAGCACTGTCCTCCTGTTGTCCATCAATTTGCTCGAGCAGGTCCAGTAATGTCTCCATTGTGAGACTTCTTGTTACTGCGTTTGGCATATTGAATATGTCATGGGTAGCTTGCCAGGCTTTGCCATGCAGGGCGAGATACTCTTGGTAGCTTGCCAGGCTCTTCGAGAGGGGCAGAGGAATTGAACCTGGCTCAACCAGGCTGGCCATGCACAAGGCAAATGCCCTACCACTGTGCTATTGCTCCAGCCCAATATAAAATATAGCAAAGGTTAATATCATATAGCAATCAATCATCACATAAACTGACTTTATTTATTAATTTCCTGATAAGTCTATTTGCCATTCCTTTAAGTTTTCTTGGAGCAAATCTTATGAAATAGATTTTTTATGTACCTGCCAAAGGGGCAGGCTAGGTGTGGGAGGGGACACTAGTGGAGGGAAGAGCATATTGGTGGTGGTGTGTTGTTGGAACATTGTATGTCTGAAGCAACTCTATTCTGAACACCTCTATAAATCACAGTATCTTAATAAAAATGAAATTTAAAACATTTAATTTGCAAATTAAAAAATTATATTCCCTGATGTAACATATTTTTATTATGTGATCTAAGGTGACATCAGAATCTATGGTGGTCCAGCAGGTCAGTGAGGTCTGCACCGAGAGAACTGGAAAGACAGACACCTGGTTCAGTCCTAGTCTGTGGACTTAGAGAGTGAGGTCGGGGAACACCAAGGGAGAACTATGAGAAAATCTCCCACACATATACTAGACTTTCCATCTTTTTATCTCTTTGCTCTGTTGTTCACTCCATGAAAATCCTGAGGTGCATGAGGAAAGAGATTATTATGTCTCTACACATAGTACTGAATCCGCTTACACAAAATTAATGTAATTACTATGTTGATTTCCAGATGTTAGCTTAATGCCAGCCTATTAAATTTATTTCCAAAGATGATGCTTAAAACAAACATTGTGAGTAAACACTCAAATAAAGTCATGCCAACAAATTTAGTGATAATTTGAGGTAATGGAAACAATTTCCTACTAGGGCTCTTACCCATCTCTGTGGCCCAAGTGGTGCTTATAACCACTTCTTCCCTCTTTCTTAGTAGACCACACTAGACTTTGCACCAAGGCCAGGTTCCAAATTAAAGATTTTGACATTTAAGATTTTTTTGTTTAGGGGCTGGAGCAATAGCACAGCGGGTAGGGCGTTTGCCTTGCATGCCGCTGACCCGGGTTCGATTCCCAGCATCCCATATGGTCCCCTGAGCACCGCCAGGGGTAATTCCTGAGTGCAGAGCCAGGAATAACCCCTGTGCATCGCCAGGTGTGACCCAAAAAGCAAAAAAAAAAAAAGATTTTTTTGTTTAAATTTCCTCTTCTTACCTCCTATAGACCTAAATAATGTAGGAGATGTGTGTGTGGTGGTGGTGTTGCAGGGGGTGGGGGGGAGGGTACACACACCTAGAAAGACACAGAGCCCTGGCCTAGATGGAATCTCTATACTTCCTAGGTCTCAAGAGATAGTACAATAAATTGGGTGCTTGCCTTGAGCACAGCTGGGTTGAGTCCATCAGGATGGATCCCCAAGCACAGAGCCCTAAGTATAATGAACGTAACTGAAAAACTAAAACCAAAATATACAGTAGGCTCCTAAACCTGAGTGGGGCCTCAGTTTCCTAATTTACACAAATGTGGGTAAAAACACAGTCTGTGGATTTGAAAGAAAATAAAAGATAATTCATAGACATATGCAGCCACCTTATAAAGGCTCAATAGAATTATTGATTTTGGAGTCACTCCTAGCAATGAATAGGTGTAAAAAAGTGGGGGTCATATGGTGCAGGGACTGAATAAGGACCTCCAATATGTAAAGCATGTGCTCATCCATTGAGTAATTTCTCCAGTCAAATATAAGTACTATTGTTAACTTTTATTAAAGCATTTTGTGACATTTAGTTCCCTTAGTTTTTTGTCTCAACCTGTAACCATGAAATTCTCTTTCATGGAATACTTTATTGGATGTGGGTTTTTGTCAAATCTCCAGGCTCCTAGAAAATAAAATGAATAAGAACCCAAAGATTTAATTGCAATTCACTGTACTGTAATCTAGATGGCTTGGTTTTTAAAAATCCCTAGAGATTAGCTGGAGTGATAGTACAGTGGATTTTGCATGAGACTGACCTGGGCTCAATATGTGGCATCCCATCTGGTCCTACAAGTACTGTCAGGAGTGAACTATGAGCACAGAGACAGGAGTAAGCCCTAAACACCACTAGGTATGGCTCAAAATAAAACAAAAAGTAAACATTTTTTAAAAAATGAGACTACATGAGTATAAGGAACTGCTTTTTTGTTGCTGTTCTTGCTTTCTGGATCACATTCAGCTGTGATATATAACTGCTTTGGGTCATATGCATGTGCTTTGAGTGTTGGAGGCCAGGGTTCAGTCTCTAGCACCTTATAGTCCCTTGAGCTCAACCAGGAGCAACTCCCAAGTGACCGCTCCTAGCAATGTTTAGTAGTCCCCAAAACCACTGAGTTTATTAAATTAAAAAAAAACTAAAATAATGTATTTTTATTAATTATGTCTACTGGTTCAGAAAAATAATAAGTCTAGATGTAAGGCATTTGTCTCACACACAGCCAACCCAGCTTCTATCCTTGGCACTGTATATGGTCCCCTGAGAACCTCAAAGAATGATCACAGATCACAATAACAAGCATGGTCTCTTCCAAAAACAGTACAAATTTTACTTATTTTTTTTAAAAAAGCATTAATAATACCATTTTTTGAGAATTAAATCATAGTAATTTCTCTAGAGTTTTAAACAAATTGCTACGATTCAGTCCTAACTTGCTCATATTTATTCTCCCTCAAAAATGAAACCTAAGGGCCAGGGTAATAGTACAGAGGGTAGGGTATTTGTCTTGCATGTGGTCAACCTGGGTTTGATTCCTGGCATTCCATATGATCCCCCAAGTATCACCAGGAGTAATTCCTGAGTGCAGAGCTAGGAGCAACCCCTGAGCACTGCTGGGTGTTACCCAAATAGTAAAAAAAATATTTCTTAATTAAAAAAATGAAACTAGTACTGATCAAATATTTCAGTTTAATAATATTATTGAAGATAGTTATCTAATAGGGAAATCCAAAAATTGAAACAATTTTTATAAAAGTTACCAGCATGGTATAACTATTAGAAATATATGTATCTATATATTCTTTTTTTGACTTTATAATTATTTTAAAGTCTATCATTGCTTGTTTTTTTCAAAACAAGTTTAATAGTTGACAGACACTATTTGGGTGAACTTCTTGGCTATTTCTATATGATGGATTGAGTGTTAACACCCAGTGGTACACTTATAAAGCTTTGAAGAATACATACAGGAATAAAACACAAGGTATTCAGCTATAACTGACCTTTTAAATATTTTTTGTTCAATTGACTTTGGAGAAGGACTTGTTTTATTGCTTTAGCTATATTTTTGGTGGGTGGTGGGACCTCCCAGTGTTGCACAGGGGACCCAGAAAACACTCCCAGAAATTTCCAGCCAACAAGGCTGGCAGATCAATGCTAGGGCCTGAGAATGCTAAGCTGTTCAGATCCTATTGGTATCCAGGACCACCAGAGCCATGCTAGCAGTACTCAGGTCTCTGAGATACATTTAACAATAAGAGGTTATGAGGGTATGTAATGACAGGGACTGAACTGATGCAGGTATACTCAACTTACATTCCCCTACCCTTGAAGTATCTCCCTGACCCTGCTTTATCTATTTTAAGTTTGGTCAGAATAACAGGGATAAAGGGAAACAGACAGGGCAGATTAGGAGAACATGATTTTAAGAAAGAGAGTTAGAAATATGGAATGTCAGAGGATGGGCCAGGGTGATGCCTGATAACTTGGATAACAATAATTTCATACCTGCATCAGTGGTCTACATTCTTAGAAGACAATAAAGAGGTGTGCTCCCCCAAAGCTCTTTGTTAAAAAGGTATAAAAGTGGAAAGGTTTTTGCCTTTCTCTGGGGTTCTTCTTAGGAGATCCTTCCACAATTTTGGAGCTTCCCTGCAATTCTTTCCATACCTTTCCCTTATTTAAATAAAGTCTTTTCTGAATTCAGCCACTTGATCTTTGCCCCTTGCTTTCAAAATTGACTGCATGAGGACAAGAACTTGAGTGTCTGTATCTGCTTTAACAAGAGCATCTCACCAAAGATAAGGTTTGTAGTTTTTTTTCTTTCTTCTCCCTTTTATTACTAGTGTTCTTTGTGTTGCCATTTTTGCCTTTCTAGTGTCAGTTTTCTAAAAATCATATTTTTATCTGAGATACCCTTAACCTTCTCAGGGGTGACATTATTTAGGAGAGTCAGATCAGACTGCTCCAGGTTCCAGGGGAGCATTCTATTTAGATTCACTGAGAGACTCAAGAAAATCTAACAGGAATTCAAAGAGTGAGCAATTGCACATTTCTGCCTATACATGCATTTCTTACTTCCTGCTGAATTCACACAATTTATAAATCAATCTTTGTGATTTATTCATTCATTTTTGGTTGCTGTATTACTGCAAAATAGAAAAGTGAGACTTGGGGTTTTGAATTGTCTTATAATATTGTAAGCATAAAAAGTTATCAAATTATGGCTCATCATTCTTCTAGATGTTTTAAGAAGAGAAACAAAGCCATTTACCTTGTCTGACAGCTAGTGTGGTGGTATAGACCAAGAAGAGAAGAATGTAATTGAGGAAACTCTGGAAAACTGGTGTGTTGGCATGGAAATCTTCTGACAGGTACTTGCTGGTCAAGCCAATTCCACAAATAAGGAGGGATAACACCTGGCCCAGAGCCACGGAGATTAACATCTCTCTGATAAATAAAAAGAAACATAGCAAAGATCAGCAGAAAATCCATTTAAGCAATAGCAGTTAAAATTAATTAAGCACTGATACCATTTTACTAGGCTAAGTACAATAGATAGCTTTTAAAAATCTGTCACAGTAGTCTCATGTGGAAGGTACAATTATTACAGAGATTTTATGGAGGAAACATCTAAAGCTCAGAGAGGTTAAGGAATTTACCCAGTCACATAAGAAATAGCAAAACTGGGACTTGAAACCAGATGATGGGATCCTGTTTTCTAGTCACTGACCCCTAGAGGCCAAGGTGGCAATAACAACATCCTGCTGTGCATTAAGAGAGCCCTTGAACAGTGAGCAAAACATAGTAAGAGACTAACACCCAAGTTCAGGACTAATGGTTCGCAATTGGAAGCCTGCTTCAAGGACTGAAGGATAGGGTAGTTGGGTAGTTGGAACATAGAAGGAATCATTATGACAATAATGGTTGGAATGGATGGCTCTGGATTGAAGATGTGTGCTGAAAGTGGGCAAACTATCAAATATGATGGTCTTTCACTATAAGTATGTCAAACAATAATGCCCAAAAGGAGAGAGAGAGAGAGAGAGAGAGAGAGAGAGAGAGAGAGAAGAAAGTGCCTGCTATAGAGGCAGGCTGGTGGAGGGGTTGGTGGGAGGGAAAGGCAGGAGGCAGGAGGAGGGGTTTAGTGGTGGGAAATGTATACTGGGTGTTGGAACATTGTATGATTAGAAATCATAAAAGCTCTGTAACTATTTCATGGTGACACGGTAATTCAATACAAAACATAAATAGTTTTTTAAATGAACTGAAAAATAAAAACAACTAAAATAAAAGAATAATTCTTGGTTAATAAATTCTTATTATATGTCAAGTCATGGAAACAGACTAAATATACTGTTTCTTACACATAATCTTCAAAATAACCTTATAAGGCAGATATTTTTATTTCTCCATTTCATAAATAAATTCATGCTTGCAGAGGTTAAGCAAGAAGATCAAGGTCACAGAAGTAATAAAACTTTGTATGGAAACTAGATATGACTCTAAATCACATCCTTTTAATAACTATTTTACACCATCATTATGCTGCAAAAAATATATTTTTCTTTTCCACAAAAGACACAGAACATGGTTCTAGAAGACTTAGTGACTTGTTCCAGAAATATTGTAGCTGAGGTGAGGACAAACAAAGGTTAAGGAAACACTAACTGATGGAAATCCACAGCCAAGACAACTGTAATGTATGCCTTTCAAAAAGAGGTCAGCGCATGCCTATTCTTGTTCCTTTAATGCAGTAAAATGGCAAATTTGCTGTATTCAATTTCTGCTTTTAATTAGCGTTCATGTCATTCAGTTGCTGCTGGTATGATTTGCTAGAAAATGCAAATTGTGGTTTTACTGGTCATGCCAATAAACATGGCTTGTAAAACAGGAAGAAATGGAACTTTTTTTTTCTGGTAAGTTCATCGGTTCTTTCCCCATTTCAAAAATATAGACACTATAGTCATTACAGTGTGTGCACCAATGCAATTAATAGTCACCAAAGTTTAGTATATAAAGTAAAATATAAAGTTAGAGATTGACAGTTAATTCCACCTCTCTTATTCCCCACACTTCATTTTTCCCTCATTGAATTCCCATCTTCCCCTTTATTGTCCCAAATTATTTCGGTGGTTTGTTTCACGGAATGGTCTCCTCACCACTTTCTGTCCTAGGATCTTTTAGATCATTATAGATAATTTTAGTTCATTATAGATGCTCCCCTTGACCACTTTGTACTCATTGAGACTGAATTATGTGTCCTCATCTATATGCATGCCCCTCTCTATATTCATATTCACCATACTCTTTAATTCATGAGCTCCTGAAAAGAAATACATACTCAATAAACATAGAATTAATGAAAACTAGAATTAATAAAATAGAATGAAAGAGAGGTATGTGGCTCAGAAGTACAGCATATGCCTGACCTGTGTAACGTGCTCAATATGATCCTTGGCATAGGATCAAATCGAACGAAAAAAACATATAATATATGAGTGAACCAACACTTATAAAGGTACAACATTAAGTATATAAAATAAGTCATCTTGAAAAACTTTTAGCTCTGAAAGACAAAAATCATCTTGCTTTCACTCTTAGTTAGACACCAAGTGTAATACACTATTTTCTGCTGCATTTCTCTGACCAAGCCTAGTAAGGTGCTGTCTTGCAAAAACACTAAATATGACAGGGGGTAGAATTCTTGAATTCTTCACAGGGAGCTATTTGATAGTCATGTAGTATATATAATAGCATACCAGATGCATTCTAACACAGGACACACAGTTCCTATAATTTTAGTAGCAGAAATGCAGAAGAGACTCTGATACACATTTTCATCATTGTTTGTGCATTTAAAAGGACATCCTCTCTACTTTAAATTCAGAATGACTAGACAATGAAAAATGCATGAGTCTCAGAAAAAACAGTGTGGCTAGAAGCTGAATATTATAACAGCATTTGTATTCATAAAGACTGACATTAACTATTACCAGTAGTACTTTGCTTTGTTAAAGTAATAAACTTAGAGTTCTGTGACAAAACTTGTTCCTCAAAATAGATGTTCAAAATAGATATAAAAATAAAACATAGATTATTGCTTTCTCCTTTTAATTATTATAAAAATATTTTATATAAATGATACAAAAATATTCAATATAATGGCTGGAGCGATAGCACAGCGGGTAGGGCGTTCGCCTTACAAGCGGCCAACATGGCCGACCCGAGTTCGATTCCTCCGCCCCTCTCGGAGAGCCCGGCAAGCTACCGAGAGTATTCGATATGCCAGACACAGTAACTTCATCATATACTTTGCAATTCTGTGATATGAGAATGAAGCAATGAAGTCACCGTTCTGAAATTAAACACACCAGCCTTTGTGTGGAGACATCTTCATACTGGTAATTATTCTCACCTAAGTCATGTCAGGCCTAAGATAGCATCTCCAATTTAAATAGGCATCGATGAGTCTCAAATACCACTGACTACTGAAACAAATACCACTGACTACTCTGTGATCAACTACATCCTTTGACAAGATTGTTGTTTTCAAAAGTTAGACCATTGACTTGAGGCTCTTTGCCAAAAGGTGCTTTCTTCTTTCTTTATAATTTTATTAAAGCACTATGATTTTACAAAGTTATTTAAAGTTGAGTTTTAGGCATACTTTGTTTCAGCACCAATCATAACACCTGAGTCCACTTCCTCCATAATAGTTTCTAACTAAATCACATTTGTATTAATCAGATATCCGCAAAAAGCAAAATAGAAAATACTATCTTCAGAGATTTTGCATTAATTGGAATTTCCTTACCTCAGATTTCATAGTCATAGAATTTAATGTGTTCTTTAGCTTCATGGGTTGGAGCGATAGCATAGAGGGTAGGGCGTTTGCCTTTCACACAGCCAACCCAGGTTTGATTCCTCCGCCCCTCTCGGAAACCCTGGCAAGCTACCGAGAGTATTTGCCCACATGGCAATGCCTGGCAAGGTACCCGTTGATGCATATTTGATATGCCAAAAACAGTAACAACGAGTCTCACAATAAAGATGTTACTGGTGCCTGTTTGAGCAAAATGATGAACAATGGGAGGACAGTGCTGGACAGTCCTGACAGTGCTTTAGCTTCATGGCACTGAGGTTTATTGTGTTTGTTTTTTCTCTTTGTTTAGAGGAAACTGAATCAGCAGTAAGAAGTCTTCCTAAAGACATCACTTCCTAAAGTTGAGTCTATCAAGTCTATGCTTATAAGAGATATTAAAAACCCTGCACTGAGGTAGTAAGTCACAAACACGTGTGTGTGTGTTGTGTGTGTGTGTGTGTGTGTGTGTGTGAGTGCCATTGAAGAGTGAAAATAAAAAATGTCCCTAATAGGCATTTCAATTCTACAAATTAAGCTCTAGGGTTATTTACAGTTTCTACTTTGAATATTGCATTGGTGAATAGGACACTATAACAAACATAAAATTTCTGTTTTTCCTCTCCTAGAAAGACTGTCCTGAGAAATCACATTTCTATAGAAGTCTATAGACAGTCTATAGACTGTCCTGAGAAATCACATTTCTCTGAAGATGGTCCCTTTTCACAGGCTAATTGATTGTGTACTTTGTGCTATTATGTTGGTTTTGCCTCTTCCCTACTTTACTTTTGTACCAAAGATTGCAATTCCTAATTTGTAGCACATAAACCATATTTCCTGGGGAAATTCAGACCAATACCATAAATCTAATCCTTCCCTGTGCTCCATAATTCTTATTTATTTTAATTTTACTTTAATTTAATTGCTTATTTGGATTATACCCTGCAATCAGGGGTTAATTCTGGTTCTGCGCTGAAGAACTACTCCTGGATGTGCTCGGGGACTATAAGGGATGTTGGGGATTGAGCCCTGGTCGACCTCGTGGAAAGCAAACACCTTCCCTGCTGAACTATGGCTCCAGCTCCTCTCAATTATTTTTAGAAAACACTGATATGTAATCATCAACTCTTAAAATCTGTTTCCTCAAACTTAAATTCTATTCCTGTTGTGTATTTGACTTAACTTTTTAGTAACTGAGTTAATTATTTGCTCATTTATAAAGTGTAAGCACTATGGGTTTTGGGACTAGACAAAGAAAAAAAATTAGTAACATTTTCCAAGGCCTGCTAGTGTAAATAATGAGAAAGGAATATTTGACTCCTGCATCTAATAAGCTCAAAGAGGCATAGAACATAAATAAGTAACCTATATAGGAAAACATCACCCTTCTCTATATAAATCTATATAAACATGCTAGAAGTTATTGGAAAATTTTCAGTTCTGATAATTAAGCAAAAAAAAATCTAAAAATGTTATGAAAACACAACAAAACACAGTTTTAAGTCTGTCTCTCTTTTTCTCTCTTCCTCCTTCCTCCCTTTCTCCCTTTGATGATTTTGTTATTATCTTGTCTTACCTTTTGTATAAA